GGAGGTCTGTGTAAAAGCCCTCCCCGCGCCGCTGCACGGCACACAGGTGGATGGTTTCTTACGCCTGACGGTTGCGCGTGTCTGGGGTGTGACAGCAGCTGCAGACTCGGGACACAACCCCAATGCTACGCCAGCTCTGTTGTCACCACGTTGCTCCTCTGGGAGGCGGGGGCTTGGGGGCATGGGGGGGTGCGGCTCTATTACAAACTGCCCCAGCGGGACTCCCGTGGACTCCGGACCGGACACAGCCACACAGCCCGCCTGCTGCGGGCACACATGTCCCGATCAACGCTTCACTCCCAACCGGGGCGAGGAGCCGCCCTCCCCGCGGGCAGGTCCACGGGAGAACGGCCGTGGTGGAGGGAGGGAGGATGATCTGGACGACGAGCTGGACGCTTCACAGCTTGGGAGATTTATGGGAAGACCAGATGGAGAGCCCGGTCCTGCCGCTACCCCGGCCGGCGCTCCTGGGACGCGGTCTCTGGGAGTAACGAGAGGAAGCGGGTGGAGTTCGCCGACTCCATGGGTCTGAACCTGGCCAGCGTTAAGCACTTCCAGCGCGCTTGGGAGGGAGCCGCAGCATCCCGAGTAAAGTTCTGTCCAGACACAAGAGCTTCCCGCCGCCGCAGCAGCGACTTACTGAACGGGAGCTGTGCCACAGACCTTCACGTCCGGCCTGCTCCGGACCGGGGCTGCTCACCTGCTTCCCGAGCCCCGGGAGGTGCGAGCCGGCAGGCGTTCCCGCCTGCTCCGCGTCTGGCCTGAGGAAGGTCACCATCACCCAGGTTTCGACGTGCGGGGACAGATCCGGGTCTTTACGGACTGGGCAGCAGCAAAGAGGTCGGAGCTGAGGTACCACCTTCAACGGACTGGCTCTCCTACATCGACCGGGCATGGCTCTGCCCGTGCCGGTGGCGGATCAGCCGGGCTTCGTGGGGGGGGAGCGCTTCAGTTCACCGGTGTTCACGGCCGCCCTCATGCGACCCCAGCTCGGCGTTGCACTTCGCACTCTTAAAACACACGGGGTCGTAGTTTTGATCTCCTACACAAATATAAATGTTTAAACTTCTGTCAGTATGGATGCTGCACAGCGTTGGATCAGTCACATTCCCCACAGTTTAATTGTTGGGTTAATTAATTAAAATTCAGATTTACACTGTAAACAAGAGAGACAGCCAACCACCCCCGAACCATTCGGTCTGTGTACATTCCTCCATCATATATATATATATATATATATATATATATATATAAGTTTAGTCTGTAAGAGTCCAACGACCAAAACAATCAAATTCATGGAAATGAATCCAAATTGTGAATATTGTCATACGAAGTCTGTTGTTCGACGGCTGTTTGCTGTCTGTTACAGAGTATTACCATCTGTGCTGAAGAGTTTGTGTTAAAGGTTTTAAGGTACATTTAGGTTTTATTACGACCAGTGTTGGACAAGTTACTAAAATACTGTAATTAGTTACTCGGGGTGTTTATCTGTCCGATACGTATCCGGATATCTGCTACGATACGATTCAGGGACAGTTTAATAAGCAACAATGTATCTGTAAATCTTTACACCGCTATTAGTTAGTTACTTCTCTCAAAAGTAATGGATTTACTTTACCAATTACTCCATATAAAAGTAATTAGTTACCAAGTAAAGTAACTTTTGTGTTACTTTTAAATGTCTGTTTCAGTTCTGATTAATGCATTCAGATTATGGGCTGATTTGTAAACCGCGAGCTAGTTAGTAGTATTGAGCTAATAGTCCTAACATTGCGGATAGTAACGTTATTCTAAATACTCACTCAGTTTAACTATATGCAGTTATCTAGCCCAGTGGTTCCCAACATAAGGCTTGGGCCCCTCCAGAGGGTCATGAGAGAATAAATTGGAGAAGAAACAGTTTCCTGTACTGTAAGTATTCAGCCTGAAACTGTGACACTTAACTAAAAATCCTCCAGTTTAAACCTTCAGAGCACAAACAGGTGATGTTCTGCTGGATGATACACCTGTTAAGATACGCTGTTAAGAAAGAAACAGTTATATAGAGAAGCTTTAAGTAAAATAAAGTTCTTCTTCAACTGCTGCAAAATAGTCCCAATCACTGAATAATCAGCAGCACTATGCTGCAGTAATTACAAACTTCACTGATAGTACACAATAGTTTACTGTATTAAAGCTCCAGTGTGTAACATTATTATAATATTTTTATATATGTTTTCATTAGTTTATAATCAGCTGGATATAAGAATCGTTGTGTTTTCGTTACCTTACAATGAGCTGTTTTTATCTAGAGAGGGAGCGGGTCCTCCTCTGGCAGAGTCTGCCAGTTAAACCACCATGTTTCTACAGTAGGCCAGAAAGGACAAATCAAACACTGACTATAGATAGGGACTATCTACTCTCTAGTTTTCCTGTCTTTCCAGCAGCTGTTTTTACTTCGTTCTTTAAAAGTTGACATTTTGGAGACAGTACAGTAAAGTTCAGTAAAAAAACAAGTCTGTAAAACCGTCTTTTACCAGCAGCTGTTGAACACGTGTGGTTCCTTTCATTACTCGCCTGATTAAAAACCATCCTGATTCAAGCTTTAAACACATTAAAGAAGCTGTTGGATGTCCTCTACAGGATTTATATCTTTTCCTGTCCTCATGAGGACACTCTCCCTGGCTTCCTGTTCATGCTGTGTGTGTGTGTGAGTGAGTGAGTGTGTGTGAGTGTCTGTGTCTGTCTGTGTGTGTGTTATAGTTGTCTTTATACATTAAAGTGTGTCTACGTGTGGTGAAAACCCTTCAGCGCAGACAGATGTGAGAGGATTTCCGTCCAGCAGGTGGAGCTGTCGTACCTGGGCAGGACGTAGCACCAGATGGCTCGTCCGGTGGACGTGGGGTCGAGGACAGAGTCCGGATCACTGCAGAACCTCCTCAGCACTAACGGAGGGAGGTCAAAGTCCTCCAGCTGCAACACACACACACACACAGATCCTGACTGATCACACACTCTTTATTCTCATTCAGCAGCTTTACATCGTGTTATATATATTATAACTGTTTGTAATGAAGTTAAACTCCAGTTAACTACAGCTTCTTTAATAAAATAATCTAATAATCTCCTGTTGTTAGTTTTAAATTCCTAATTTAAACTATACGTATTATATATCGTAGTATAAGTATGATTTAAACTGGTATGGAGCGACGTCAGCTCTGTTCTCACTGTCGTTGGGGGAAGTCTGACTGTGCTGGCGTCAATGCTGATACACAGTTGGCCCTCACTGGTGCTCAGCTCCATACCTGACACACAGCAGAAGATAAATAACACACAATTATTTACTCAATCACACACACTTGATAAGATTCACACACATCTGATTGTAAGTTAGGACTAAACGCTCATAGAGACAGAAGACTTTCTCTCAGCCTCTGTGTTACGAGCTTTCAGACTTTCTCACTAGATTTAGTGACTTTATTTGTGACTGACAGATTTAGTTCATCCAGGAAAAGCTGAGAAATATATTGTAATATATAATAATTTGTTCCCATTCGACAGCTCCGGGGTCTCTCCCTCTCCTCTTGGGACGTACACAGTCCGTCAGTATGTGTGGTCTGTGGGGGTTTGACCTTCTGTCTCACTCTCTCTCTCCGGATCTGTGGATTAGGACGTTCCTGCAGCTTATAAATGTGTAAATAATAGTTTGTTTGAGGTGTAAATATTTAAGTAGTTTGTTTGTCTCCCTCCACTTTCTTTTACTTCAGATATATACGATGTCCCGCACTCAGTCGGTGA